CAGTAATATTCAAACATTTCTTGTTGGAAACTGACATTCTAATAATAGATTACTATTACTACCACCATCATCTCATAATCCTCCTCCTCATTATCATCACCATCATCATCACCATCATCATCACCATTATTTCGTATTTATGTGCACGCAGAAACCCACACCACACACACACCAAACCCACGTACACATCCAAATAAAGCATAGACGAGAATCGACCAACTCACCCTCCTCTCCCCGGGTTGCATACTGGTACCACATCGTCGCATACGAGATGAGCGTGTCTGCAAAGGAGTTCACGAGAGACATGTCTGTGTAGTCTGCGTACTTGTCTTGCCATTCAGAGCCAGCAGACGCGCGCCAGGAAACGGAGAGCGAGTCTGTGCTTGCTCGCATTGCCTTTACTTGACCTGGAAATCGGGTGACGTCGTTCGATTGGTAAACTCGTAAGGATTGGTTTTGTTTATCTTATGTTGTTTTTATTTTCTGGTCAGTGGGACAGGGGGTTAAGGAAAAGGGCTTTACTCGAGTCTCAAGTACGTAAAATTGAGCAGACAGCAAGTGGGAACATGAAAAACGCTGGAATATGACATCAAAGAGTATTTAAGTCCGTAAAAGATATCCAAACAAAACAACCATAACCTCGAGAGTAAACAATAAAAATGACATTTCAACAAAATGAAATGTAAAAAAGGACATTTCAACACAAGGAAATGTAAAAAATGACACTGCATCCTTTCGTAAACACCAACCCTTATCTTTCGAAACCTCACAACTGCCTCTATAACGAAACAACCGCCCCTGTTTCACTTACAAGTAGAAGAGAATCTCCTGCGGTCCTTCTTAACGGCACAGGCCTGGATGAAGAAAAGCTTGGGTTTCTTGATGTACCACTCGATCTCCGTGACGGGTTCGATCAGCTCCAGACGGCGGTGGATGCGTCCGTCCTTCACGTGCAGGTAGGTCTTGTCTCCGTGTCCCATGAACCACACCACCAGGCTGAAGGGAGAGAGAGAACCTGGGCTTCCATGTCGTTGGAGATTTTGAGAGGACAGACGGTGATGGTGTAATATTCCAAGACACAAATCGAGGGAAGGTTGTGTGGGAAGGTCGACCTACCTGTCGTAGTATTTGTATCTCCCTGCCTTCAGTTTGCTGATGATTGACTTGATCTCCTCGGCCGTGGGGTCATTTTTCACGAAGAAGGCGTACTTGTACTGCTTCTCAAATAGCTCCCTGACCTTCGCGAGGTCCTGCGACGCCCCCCTTCGCCCCTCCGTCATGAGGAACACGAGGCACAGACCAGGGGACCTCGAGGCAATGGGGTAGCGGCCGAGGGTGGTCAGAATGCCGTCGATGTGCGGGTCTTCGGCTCCTTCTCCGAACTTCATCTTCTTCAGCTGGTCGAACAGGAAGTGGAGCTTGTGCGTATACAAGCGGTTTATCATTTCCTTCCTCAGCATCTCAAGGACGAGATAGTAGAACGCCACGTCCTTCAAGCCTGGTACTTTTTCGAGGGCATCCTGCTCTAGCTCGGGAGACAGGAGTTCCCTTGCCTTCTCGTCGCCCCGGGCCGTGCCGGACAGAATCTCGTAGAGCTGGAACACATCCGAAGGCGAGAGGCTGTCCCCTACCTCCGCGATGACCGTGCACCCCGGCTCCACGAAGAACGTGCTCCCCTCGCTCTTCTCAGGACCCACCGTCAGAGGAATCTTCTTGGACGAGATAATGCACTCAAAGTTCTCCCTGATCTCCGTCGGGACGGGCAAGCGGAACACCTCAAGGAGCTCGGTGAATCTTAGGATGTCCTCCTCGCCGTCGTTGAGCACGTTACTCTCATCGGAAAAGTTACTCTCGAGTGTACTGCGGGAGTTGGAGTCTGGCTTCACGCAGGAGAGAGACAACAGACGGCACTGCAACTCGCGTCTCAGGGGCGTGATCCGTTTCTCAGCCAAACACCTCTGCAGCAGGATTCAAATTCATGTTTTTTTTTTTTTTTTTTTTCTGATTTATTAGCTGAGAACTAGATGTTTATGTCTATCATGTAGAGCATCTAAAATAATTTTATCTTCCCAGGTTTAAGATACTTTATGTTATGTGGCTCGGGATTTAATTGTAGAAAAAATAAATCATGGTAATACATAAGAAAGAGAATAAGATAGATAAATAAATACATATACCCTGACGAAAACTTTCTCAAGTCCTTACAATAAGAAAATAATTAGATACAAAAACGGAAAAGAAAAGAAACCAAAACAAACTCGACTGAAAACCGGAACGACGTCTTACCTTGAATTTCTCAAGTAATCTTAAATTCGACGAACTTTCGGAATCAGCAAAGATGCCCCCCACGCCCTGAGACGCACCGAGGGCATCGTTCGCTCCAGAGAGGTCGGCATACCGCTGGGTCTTGGTCATCTAGAAAATTTTTTTTTTTAGATGGAAATCCTTCTTGGCGAGTGGTAGTCAGCAGTGTGATAGTGCACATTATGTATTTACATTA